TGCCGGTGTCTAACTGTAGTTGTAGAGGTGAGGTGAGGTGAAATGGGGTTTAACGTCGCGTCCAAGATTATTGCACTTATATAGCGATGTGGATGTACGTGTGTGTGTGTGTTTGTGTGGCTGCTTGTACTAGTCCGGACTGATGCCGATTTATAGTGCTACCCCACTGAGATACCATGCTGCGGTTTAACATGAATACCCCACTCAGACACAGTATACTGACTCTGAGCTGACCAGTCCTTGTTTTAGTCCCTTAATGCCGAGCGCCAGACAGGGTAACAACAAGTACCATCTTTTAACGTCTACCGGTATCACTGACAAAACCTAGTCCGTATTCTTGAACACAATCACTGTCGTAATTGTCCGTCTGGTGTGAATTGTCTTCAACAGCATTTGCACTGTGGTTATACTTTGAATGTTTACGAAGTCTACACATCTTCACAATATGTCCCTTTCAATCACAATATTTGTGGAATTCTTCTTTGAACTTTCATTTGTCACTGGAATGATCTTCACCTCCACAGCGATAACATTCCATTCATATTGTCTCTCACTGTTGTCATGGTAACCAGGCTTGAGCGACTATGCTTGTCGTGAAAGGCGACTAACGGGATCAGGTGGTCGACTCGCTGACTTGGTTGATGCATGTCATCGATCCCAATTGCGTGGATCGATGCTCATGACATCGATGACTGGATTGTCTGGTCCAGACTCAGTTATTTACAGACTGCCGTCACATAGCTGGAATATTGCTGAGTGCAGCGTCAAACAACAAACCAACCAACCAACGTATCTTTTTGGAGTATTTGCCCTCAACAATCCTAAGGGCTACCATGCTGCATAGGAAAGGGGCTTGTGTCAATCGGACAAGTTAGGTTACCCTTGTCCTGAACATTTTTATTAATTTTGTCACAATCGTGGTGTTGATGGATCCTCTGGTTGATAATCAGTTGCGACATGCTCGTGTTATGGTTGGTGGATTTGTAATGCCTGTATGGAAACCTTCTTGGAAACCTAGGATGAAGTATGAGGTCATATTTGTGTCAGGAGTATCAGATAATTTGGCCTTCAGTGTCTCAATGGTATCTGAAGATGGGCTTGGCATCAAGTCATTTATCAGACTTCCCTGTCTTTATGGCTTGGTGTTTGGGATGGTTTTGCTTGCATATCAAGAAAACATGCATAAACCTGCAATGTTGGTGGCTGCATCCTCTGTCGTTGTAATTGTTGCAAATGTATCGTCCATGGTGGAAGATGATAGCTCGTCCATAGGCGTCAGAATTGCTCTTCCTTGCTCTTGCATATCTCTGGGTGCCAATGATGATTTGGGTTGGTCGTCGAGTGACAAGGGACAGAATTCAGTTGCATGATTCAATTCACGGCACAGTTGACATGCGTCAGCTTTCCTGAATGTGAAGATTTTGGGGTACACTTCTCAGTCCAGCTTGCCCCTGCTACTTGTGCTGGGAACATCCTGTGATATGTGTAGAAAACATTGTCATCTGTCATCTGAAGAGGCTTATTGTGTCGGGAGAGGGCGGTGAGGACTGCGTTTTGTGCTGCAGTACAACTCTTGTGATAAGGTCGACTGATTGTTGAAGGGCTTGAACTAGGTATGTGAAACCATATTTATACAAATAAATATGTCCAATAAAAATAGTTCAGTATTTTTTATTGAAATGTTAGAAGGAAATTACAGATGTATCTGAGCAGAAAATCTTGCTGTTATGGTCCACATTCAGGGACATTGGGCAGCTGGAGGCTCGGGCAAAACAAAAGTAACCTATAGTAAAAGTAACCACCCGTGAAGATCCGGGGTGGGCCTTCAGCAACCCATGCTTGTCATAAAGCAACTATGCTTGCCGTAAGAGGCGACTAATGGGATCAGGTGGTCAGGCTCGCTGACTTGCATGATGTTGTGTTTTCCCACTAAACTTTCTGATATCAGGAACTGGTTTCCACAATTGTCGAACCACCAACAATAAAACCTCGTCAGTATGAACAGGTGGTGCAGAAGATACACTTTCTTGTTCGTCAGGCGACTGAACAAAGATACGACCTTCACGACGTCTGGGTGTGTTCCGATCTGAATGTCTCCTCTCCCTATGACCTAGCTCATTCTGTTCTATGTCATTGTTACCATCATGATTTCCAGATGTGTTCCGATCTGAATGTCTCCTCTCCCTATGACCTAGCTCATTCTGTTCTATGTCATTTCTACCATCACTACGTCTAGATGTGTTCCGATCTGAATGTCTCCTCTCCCTATGATCTAGCTCATTCTGTTCTATGTCATTGTTACCATCATGATGTCCAGATGTGTTCCGATCTGAATGTCTCCTCTCCCTATGACCTAGCTCATGCTGTTCTATGTCATTGTTACCATCATGATGTCCTGATGTGTTCCGATCTGAATGACTCCTGTCCATATGACTAGGCTCATGCTGTTCTATGTCATTGTTACCATCATGATTTCCAGATGTGTTCCGATCTGAATGACTCCTGTCCTTATGACTAGGCTATTGCTGTTCTATGTTGTCTGTACCATCAACATGTCCAGATGTGTTCCTATCAGAATGACTCCTGTCCTTATGACTAGGCTATTGCTGTTCTATGTTGTCTGTACCATCAACATGTCCAGATGTGTTCCTATCAGAATGACTCCTGTCCTTATGACTAGGCTATTGCTGTTCTATGTTGTCTGTACCATCAACATGTCCAGATGTGTTCCTATCAGAATGACTCCTGTCCATATGACTAGGCTCATGCTCTTCTATGATGTCTGTACCATCAACCTGTCTAGATGTGTTCCTATCAGAATGACTCCTGTCCTTATGACTAGGTTATTGCTGTTCTATGTTGTCTGTACCATCAACATGTCTAGATGTGTTCCTATCAGAATGACTCCTGTCCTTATGACTAGGCTCATGCTCTTCTAAGTTGTCTGTACCATCATACCGATCAAGAACAGACTTCTTCGCCTCTGTGATAGCTAGTTCTGTCAATTCAAGTTTTTCTTCTTCCATCTCAAGTTTCAATTTCCTAAATTCTAGATCTGGCTTTCTCTCTAATGCAGCTGCCCTTGCCGACAATTCGGCACTCTTCTGTTCCTCCCTGAGCAGTGCTGAGGCTACTGAACTCACCCTGGAAACAAGTGATCTGTTACTTCTACTTGTCCTGGACCTTACTTCATGCCTCTCCAAATGAACAGATTCAATAGGTTCTTTGTCCTTAATTAGTAGCCATGTATAGTCTGGAAGGTAATTTAAGGTACCGATGTTTACTACAATATCTGAACAACTATTTGACCTACTCCAGTCAAAGTTGGTATGAGATTATTAAACAGTCATACATAACAGGATTTTACATTTAAAGACAATCGGTGCGTGAATAAAAAATCTGTCTATTTAGCTATCACTATATTTCATCAACAACCAGACCTGTTTGTCATGGGTGGAACGAGCAGTCATTGAAACAGCCATATGCATAATGCTACCCCTGCGTCACAGGGCCATATGACACAGTTGAACCAATCGACTCAACTCGAAATGGTGCACGGGAATCACGCACGTTGAGATGCAAACGCTAACACCGTATTCGTGCGTGCGTGATTCCCGTGCAACCTTTCGAGTTGAGTCGATTGGTTCAACTGTGTCGCACTTGTGAACAGCCAGTCTCTATAAGCACCTTGTACATAAGAATAATCATCTTCAATGAGCATCAAAGAATCTATATGCCCTTCTACTAGTTTGAACTTCTTACAAATACCATGTATTTTCTTTTCTTTTAATTCCATGCGGTATTGAAGACCTTTCTCTGTCTCTTTTCTAATCCTAGCCTCTGCACTACCATCAATACTTGTGAGATTATCATCACCGGTCTTTTCATTGTTTGGGTAAAACGTCAATATTTGTTCTTCTTTATAGTAGATGGATCTATATAGCCAATTCAGAAAACAAGCAAAACTGAAGACTGTAGTGTAAGTTTATATCAAAGCTCAGTTCATATTTCATAGTGTTTACAGTTGTTGAACATGTTGAAGTCTCACTTGTAACAGATTGACTGCAATAAATAAGAAAATAGGGAAAATATAGCATGGCATAATGCTATTTTACATTGTGATAATATTACAATATTATGTATCAAACTTCACCAATAAAGATGTATTTTTACAAAGTCTACATCTTTGAAATACTACAGAACTGAAACATGTCAGACAGGTCATATAACCAAGCTTTATATGAATATGCATTTATTGTTAAATATTACGTTTGAAAAGCCCTCGCAAAACAACCTGTTGCGAAATCTATTTTTCATACCTCTTGCAAAGCGAGCGAGTTTTGAATGCAGTAAACATCTTCGAAAGCCATGTGAAAATACAGACTAAATAACGTGACTGAATACTATAGAAAATGCTGCTAATAAGTTAATTATATTAACACAAAATGCTTCCAAGCAAAAAATGCTATTAAAGTAATTCATAACGTTTGTAGACCATCTGTTCTTCCTAAAGAACCCTAATGGCCATGATGGCAGGCAGGCAGGCGACATACTTCCAAAATAAAACATACCATGTCCCAGCAATTAGCCCCCCTTTGTAACCACAAAAATTGCAACCCGCTAAAAACTTGACAATAAATCACCCCTATTTGTGCCAAGGTCAATCATAGCAATTCTCAGACAATCTTACGAGAACACATAAATACCAAATAATAAATTTATCGTTTTGGCCGTAACACATGTCATCGTATCCCAATCACGTAGATCGATGTTTGTGATGTCGATCACTGGATTGTCTGGTCCAGACTCGATTATTTACAGACCGTTGTCACATCGCTGGAATAGACTAAATAACGTGACTGAATACTATAGAAAGTGCTGCTGATTATATTAACACAAAATGCTTCCAAGCAAAGACTGCTAATATAGTTATTCACACCGTTTTTAGACCATCTGTTCTTCCTAAAGAACCCTTATGGCCATGATGACAGGCAGGCAGGCGAATACCCACTCAGACCTGTCAACCCCTCATCATGATGTGGGAGATTTGCCTCCAAAGGGGGAGATTTTTAAAAAGTGACAATAACACTTGACGAAGATAATATACAAGTTTAATTATAGCTCAGATAAAGGCATCATATCACAGCATATCAAACTGGATAGAGGGCATTTGACAAATAAACGAAACAATAACAAAATTCTATATGGCCATTTAACTGTCTCAAATGTGCTGTGAATTGTACAGTTTTGTAGCACATTCAGCTTTGCTCAAGGTGTCTTTGTTGAATGTGCAGCTGTCGCATGGGTCTCTGCAGTTCACCTTACAACTCAGCAGAGCACTGACCGTGGAATTATCCAGTTCTGATCTGCCCTCTGTCTTTATTTTCCTGACCTTGGAAAACAATCTCTCGGTGTCAGCATTAGAATTAGGAATGAGACAGAGCTTGATGGCCAGGGCAGACAGATACTTGAATCTTCTGGTGCCATCCAGAGTCTTCTGTTTCTGCAGCTTAATCCAGTACTGCTCTGGCTTTAGTGTGCTTGAAGGCAGCTCCCCTGGTGGTGTCAGGCTCAATCTCATTAAAATCAGACCTCAGTTCTCGCTACCGCTAAACAAAGATCTGAGGACATCCCATTAGGGGTCACGTCAGAACAACCTTTCACCCGTCCAATCAGAGCATCGCTTACAAGATTATGAAAGTGACAGTCGGAATGTGATTTCTAATCATGCAGCCTCGAAAACTTTAACTCCGAACGATAGTTACAGGTTGAATCCATACCATCTAGACCATCTATTAGTCAAAACCAGAATGGTCTTTTGTTCAGGTTTCAAATTTGTAATCGAGAATTTGTCAAAATATGTTTCGAAGCGTAGTTGCCAATTTAAAATTTGTGCCGTAAAGCACGAGAAAGCTGCCTTCTGATTAGTCATTCCATTGGTCGGTCAAAGTTCGCGCAAGGTCGGTCTGACGTGACCCGTAATGGGATGTCCTCAGATCTTTGATTAGCGGTAGCGAGAACTAAGATCTGATTTTAATGAGATTGTGTCAGGCTGTACTCCAAGAACTCCTCTACTCCAGGAGCTCTTCTGTCAGTTCATCTGTCACGGAAATGCTATGACAGAAGCACAGGCCAGGACTGAAACATTAGGAAGATATAATATTATAATGTTATATAAATATCTCAATGCTACATCATGTAATATTTAAATTAATTAGGAAAATTAATAAATAGATGAAATATTTATTGTACATGACTATACCTGAGTCTGATGTGAAAGCCTGCTTTTTTTCAAGGTCTGGGTTGATCCATCCAGTATTTTTCAGGACTTCATTCCCAAATGGTAATTTCTTCAACATTGTTGTCACAGTTTCCTGATAGAAGAGCCTGATGTTTCTGAAATAAAGAGGTTGCACTAGTTTTTAATACACATTTTATGTGATATAATGCAGATATAATAACATATGCTGCATATTTCAGAATATTAAGAACTTACCTCATGAATCAAGGGGCGGTCGGGTAGCCTAGTGGTTAAAGCGTTCGCTCGTCACGCCAAAGACCTGGGTTCGATTCCCGACATGGGTACAATGTGTGAAGCCCATTTCTGGTGTCCCCTGCCGTGATATCGCTGGAATATTGCTAAAAGCGGCGTAAAACCATACTCACTCACTCCCTCACTGTGGCACCCTCACCTATACTTAAGATATTGTTCATTGTTAATTGTTCTTGTAAATAAAATTGTGATTAGTCTCCTGTGACTCCGGCTCTTTGCTGACTAATTCCCCCAAGAAAACCAGCACACCATTGGAAGGATTTGTTCATCCGAACAGAACCATAATATATCTCTCTATTCTTTTGCTTTTTGCCATTTTTAGTCTTTGGTTCGTGTTTTCCCAATAGCACTTTTTGTCTTCTCTTCTTTGAGACGGGGCAGTCGGGTAGCCTAGTGGTTAAAGCGTTCGCTCGTCACGCCGAAGACCCGGGTTCGATTCCCGACATGGGTACAATGTGTGAAGCCCATTTCTGGTGACCCCCGCCGTGATATTGCTGGAATATTGCTAAAAGCGGCGTAAAACCATACTCACTCACTCTTCTTTGAGACAACCTCTTGTCTAGGGGAAAGAGTGCCTGCCTCTATATATATAAAATTCTCGCTCGGGAAATAACGGAATTTAGACACCCGTGTCGTAAACATAGTATGACATGAACACGAATATGATGTTCTATTTGAAGACGATGTCTACACACAAAGACAAATTCTAGTGTTTACCTATAAAGACAGCAAGGAGCAACAGCAGTGGAACCACAATATGTCAAAATGATGTCAACAATCTTCAGCTATGATGTCGTTTCTGGTATGATGTCATTCTGACCTCACGTCACAATAAGATTCGAATGACGTCAACAATGACATCCGGATGACGGAAACGATACACTGTTGTCTCGTGACGTGATATGACCCAAGGGCACATACGATTTTTATGAACCCTGATATGTTCGCCCTGGTTGGTAATAAATCAATGCTATGTTAAAGTGTAGGGAATGGGCACAAGGTTTGGTTGGTTGGTTGTTTTTTTGTTTAATGCGTACTCAGCAATATTCCAGCTATATGACGGCGGTCTGTAAATAATCGAGTCTGGACCAGACAATCCAGTGATTGATATCATGAGCATCGATCCACACAATGGGAATCGATGACATGCATCAACCAATTCAGCGAGCCTGACCACCCGATCCCGTTAGTCGCCTTTTACAAGCATAGTCGCCATTACGGCAAGCATGGGTTGGTGAAGACCTATTCTACCCCGGATTTTCAAGGGTGTGGACACAAGGGATATAGTACTTGAGCTGAAATTTTGATTCAGTATGTTATTTGAAAGCTTTTATTGTTTAGGGACAAGAATGTGTTCATATTTTGATACTGAGTCATCAGCATGTGAGGATGTCACTAAACATTGCTAGCATTACTGTTTCCAACTTCACTGGCTTAAATATGTGACCGTTAATTTTTCCAGAAATGTGCAAATGATGAACAAAATATTACGAGTGGTAGGGGTAGCTCTGATCTTGCAGCCTCGTTTCAGTACGAATATTCATTTCATGTCTTGAATTTTGATGGTCATATTAATCTACAGAATTTTTTTTTTTTTTTTTATTAACTGAGAGGTGTGAATAAGAAAATCACCTATAAAATCTCATTAGCCACTCAGCTGATATTTCAGAATCTTTAGCCCAACCTGCATGTTGCTAGCCATGGTCTAGCAGGCTGGTGTATATTTCACACTGACTCATTCATACATGAAAAGAGATTGATTTGAATGTTTGGAAAAAAAGTCCTTTTTGTTTTAGTGTTGTTTTTGTCAGGGTAACATGGCCCATGCTAGACAGCTGTTTCTATTCCACCTTCACGGGGCCTCATCCCAGGTTTTACCTCCATATCACTTTGTTCCCTTGTCTGTTGTCTTTGTACATCTCAATGCTGTATATGTAGCTCTTACTTTTATATAACTGTCATAGCGACTGATTTACGACACCCATTGTCTGAAGAACATTTAATTGCAAAGGCTCATTACCCTGGAGCCATGACATTTATATGCCTTGAAACATTTAATTGCTGTTATTTATAAGACGCTAATCCTATTTGTTAATCCCAATTTTTGTGTACATTGACCGTCTGCCATCCTGAACAGGATGTGCAAGTATGTCACTGATGATTTACATTTATATTTATTACTTACTAAATGTCAGGTGACCTTGGCTATATAAGCCTTGGTCCAGAAAGGAGAGAATAGGAAAAAAGAAAGGTCTTACCCTTAGCCTAGCTAGGGTTAGGCTGGGTGCTCCGGGGCACCAAGACAACAACCACTACCACTATGTGCTGACCTGGCACATAGTGTCTTTTGTATGTATATATCTACATGTATAAAATAAAACTGTATATACTGCAAGCCATCGTCTCCAAGTTGTCACTTCCTACTGAGAACCATACGTCGGCCTCTTGCATATACGAGTATGCAAATTGTTCATTAATCAACGTCAACACCGCCACGCGTTGTTATAACCATGTCTAGGGCTGGGACAGGTTACTTGGGTACTCGGGTCAGTTGGGTCCTGACTGGGACGCGGGTACCCACAGGACTACCCGGACCCGTGGTTAGTCACGTGATATATTGTTTGATGACAAAAACTTACTGTAGCTCAGTGGTTACATGATAAGTCGCTTATGTTCGCATTTCTTTCTGACGATGCACACTTCAGTCAAATTCAGTGAATGCATGATCTGACTGTTTGACACATGTATCTAAATAGTTTTAGCCAGGGCTGCGGTAAAACAATTACCAAATTGACATTTTGTTCCCTACTCTTGAGACTTGCAGTGGGTACTCGGGTAGAGTCGGGTAATCGGGGGTCAGGTACCCGGGTAGTAAATTTGGACTCGTCCCAGCCCTAACCATGTCCTACACAGATTTGATGGCTTGCTTGATGAACGTTCAGAAACAGTGCATTGAAAGAATAAAGAAGTTGAAATCCATGCCTGGTCGGTCTTATTGTTACTACAGCTTTCTAAAAGATTAAAGTTTGTTTGTTTGTTGTGTCATAGCGACTGATTTACGACATCCATTGTCTAAGTTGTCATAGCGACTGATTTACGACATCCATTGTCTAAGTTGTCATAGTGACTGATTTACGACATCCATTGTCTAAGTTGTCATAGTGACTGATTTACGACATCCATTGTCTAAGTTGTCATAGCGACTGATTTACGACATCCATTGTCTAAGTTGTCATAGTGACTGATTTACGACATCCATTGTCTAAGTTGTCATAGTGACTGATTTACGACATCCATTGTCTGAAGAACATTTGATTGCAAAGGCTCATTACCCTGGAGCCATGACTTGAAACACTTTCTTTTCTCTTCTCTCTCTCAATCATTCTGGACCAAGGCTTATATAGCCAAGGTCACCTGACATTTAGTAAGTAATAAATATAAATATAAACAGTAATTCATCAATGACATACTTGCACATACTGTTCAGGATGGCAGACGGTTGATGTAGACAAAAATGGGGATTAACAAATAGGATTAGCATCTTATAAATAACAGCAATTAAATGTTTCAAGTCATGGCTCCAGGGTAATGAGCCTTTGCAATCAAATGTTCTTCAGACAATGGATGTCGTAAATCAGTCGCTATGACACCTGCATCACTTCGGGCTTTCCTCCCACATTAAGCTGACACGCCGTGATATAACTGGAATACTGTTAAAAGCGGCGTTAAACCCAACTCACTCACTCACTCATAGATATGCAAGTTCTTATTTTCATAATCTGAACAAATACTTACATCATCTGCCATTCACATTAATAAAAAAGAGTACAACACTTTGCAAATATTTTATTAAACAGCAACAACTCAAGCTATGATATACAATGCATGTATATAAAGACAAACAAGACAAACATAAAAATTGTGCAGAACATTCAGTGTACCCAAGTGACCATGTTGAGTGCAATAACAAAATTCCTTTGGGAGACATATTTTTGATTTGCCCATTTGTACCAGTTTCAACCTCGCGACGGCCATTCCAGACTATCCTTTTTAAAAGTATTTTGAATAAGTCATACAGTCCGTAACAGTTGTTCT